ACCAAGGACCACTTAACCAACAAAAAAACACTCGCGGACCACCTAACTCCACAAATATCCAAAAACACATTGTTTTTCTAGAACAGATTACAAATCGCCTGAAAATGGTACAAACAAGAAGCAACATGTGTGATGAAGGTGTTGCGCTGGGCTACATCATGAAACTTAAGCTCGCTCCATTGCGGAGATATTCCCGCGAGAGTGTAGCCCAGCGCAACACCTTCATCACACATGTTGCTTCTTGTTTGTACCATNTTGGAATCTGTTCTTTCAGTAAGACACCTCTCTTATTTCACTTTGAATGTGTTACCAGTACAGTGTTTCCCACAGATCTGAAATATACGTTGGGGGGTGGTGGTAGCGGGGCAGGGGGGGTTGAGGTGACAACAACATTAACATTAACCTTTCTGTTGGTCGCTTGTTAGCAGACCCTTCACGCGATGGCAGAGCGAACAGGTACAGGCAGGGCCCATAGTGATAGCCCTATAGTTTAAATCTACTACCCACAAATAAACATATTGACATGGGTTACTATTTTAAACAAATTGTAAATGTATTTAGGAACCTATCAATGTGATTTTAAGTGGGGGTAGACCTCAAATCCTCTAGGGGGATCCGGGGGCATGCTCCCCTGGTAAGATTTGTTTTTTTATTTTGGAGTTAAATGCATCACTCTGGTGCATTTTGAGGGGGAAATAAAGAGACTAGATCTATGGAAACACCTATATGAAACAGAACTGTATACATTTCAATAATCATAAAATCATGGCCATAACCAATAACATACAGTACCACTTCCAATATGAAAAAACACTGAAACTTGTTTATTTATTTATTTTTGGTTCATTTATAGTTGTGAGTGTGTCTGTGCTCCTGAATCAGCCTCTCCTGTCTCTCTCCTCTCCTCCCTGCTCCTCTTTGAGGCAGCAGCAAAGACTAGTTTTAGCTCTCAACAAGCTTTTAAAGTGTATCTTACCTTTTTTCACCTAGTTAACTTTTTATTTATTTATTCATGCATATTTTACTAATCACAACCCCCTCAAATGGAAATATGTGTTTACATAAATGGTGACCACACCGTTTGAGACCCACTGAGAACTTAGACTAAGTTAATTATCTAAACACTCAGAGAGTCCTTTACCTCACCTGAGCTGAGGTTATCCCGAGCTTGAATGACACACAGAGACCAATCAAGGGCTTTGATTTATGATCTGTATGACAGTGGCCATGTCGGCAGGCCACATCATGTAGACAGCCAGTCAACCTGTGTGAGGCAGGCCACTTAAGAGGCCAGGCCATCGGGAAACCCCCCGGTCCACCCGATGGCCAGTCCGGGACTGGGTACAGGAGGCGTAGACCGAGTGATCAATGCCCACAAGTTAATCAATCGCAGATGGCATCGTGGTCACGGACGGAAAAAAAAAAACATTTTATTAAAAAGAAAACTTAAATGGGTTGCGAAATATACTTGGGCGGCCGTTAATATACCTGGGCGGCCCGCCCAAGTATAGTCTATGTGTGGGAAACCCTGTAATTACAGAGATACTCTAAGAAAACCACCTCACCGGGTCAAAAAAGACCCACTTATGCATCTAAGGGTTTTAATTAAAGCAGTTAAAGAGAAATAATAATGCAACAATATTGTTCGGAAGAATATGATTCACATAAATAGCCCTAGCTCTTTAATGTTTTTATTGTTTATTATCTATTATACATTTCTATACTGTATATTTCTGTTTTATAACAACCTGATCCTATTAATTTATTTTGAATATCTGAAAGCCATGTTGTTTTGTACGTAAAAATATATTTAAAAAAGTCCTATCTACATAGCGTTTAGCTAGTAGGGTATCATGAGGCATTGTAACCGTATGTTGCTATTAATGCTTAAAAACATGGCAGGCTAAACTTTCCCTCCAGTTTGTCTTGTCTGTAATGCGTGTCTGGTTCTTACAGGACAACATGGTGAAGTCTAACATCGATAAGAAATTCTCCGCTCACTATGATGCTGTGGAGGCAGAGCTCAAGTCCAGCACAGTTGGTAAGAATTCTAGTTTTTGGACATCGAATACTTCTGTTATCACCACAAACTGTCCCCTGCTTGGACCGAAGGAGCATTTGGCTCAAAAGAGATATTGGGAAAGGAAACCAATAATGCAACATCATTGCAATGTGTCTTGTGGTTCTATATAGCCATGTGATTGTTGTTTGACTATTGTTTACTTGATCAGGTCTGGTGACATTGAATGACATGAAGGCCAGGCAGGAGGCGCTGGTGAAGGAGAGAGAGAAACAGCTGGCCAAGAAGGAGCAGTCCAAGGAGCTCATGCTGTGAGTTATCATATGTATTATCACACAGTAGCTTTGGTTTAGGAACATAAGATGCCTTTGGTTTAGCTGTGGTGATTCGCAGCGCTGTGATCGCGATGAAGTTCCTTCATATCTTAACATCAGCTTTCAAATTCTGGCTATTGCATTTAGTCATCACAAATCATAAAGTGGTGTTATATTGTGGAGATTATCCTGCTGAACCAACGTGTATGTATTAGGGCTGCTCGATTATGGCAAAAATCATAATCTCCATTATTTGGGTAAATAATTGATATCACGATTATTAAAAACAATTATCCATTTACTTTGAAAACATCCATTTATTGAAAAAAAACATTTGAACAGTATGTTTTTAACAGTTGATTACCCTGAACTTTAAGTATAATTCAACTAAAAAACCAATAATAATAAAAAAAAAATAATAATAAAATAATCGTTTTATTTCGATTACGTTGTTTTCGTAATCGTTGCAAGCCAAAATCGTAATTGCGATTACAATACAATTAATTGAGCAGCCCTAGTATGTATCATAATCGTGTGTTTGCCAAATATCTTATTATGCTAAATTCCATAATCCAATGGGAAAATCCCATTGGATTAAGTCAAGGAAGAACATGTGGTGCTCAGTTCAGGTGGTGTGTCAACATTTTAAATAGTAGTCTCCATCCAACTAGTGATAACTCTTGTGTGCAAAAACTGGTTGGATCAGGATTATTTTTATATTTCTTGTGCCTGTAGAAACAATATTACTAAATAAAGATTTATTTGAGAGATTAGTACACCTACAAAGCTATTGTCCTGAAGCTCAACACTTTCAACACTGGGTGGCGTCTAACCCGACCTGTCCCAACAAGCAAGGTGTTCCTCCAGCTGCCAACTGTAACTAATACCTTTTGTTTGTTTGGGCTCCTGTACAATTTGGCAACAATAAGACAGCTGTCAATGAAGAAGATGCATACTTTATATATTAAAACTAATTTAAGTAAGGCAGGGATAGGTAATGTATGTCATCATGGCTCTATGCCGGTCATTCCTGTCTTTCTTTTTTTTTATACATCGTTGATTTTTTGTATGGTTTCAGCAAGCTGGAGAAGCAGAAAGAGAAAAAGAGGAAGGAGGAGCAGAAGAGGAAAATCGCCAGTTTATCGTTTAATCCCGAAGACGAAGGAGAAGAAGAAGAAGAGGAGGAGGAAGAGGAAGAAGAGGATGGTGAGTCTTTACTGTATGAAAGTGACAGCGCAAAAGAGCTCCACTGACATCCTTAACATCCATGTATAAAATGTACATGGATTTGGGAAATGATTCAAATGTACAAACTTATTAAAATACATTGGATATGCTCTTCTTATGGTGCATTCAAGACAGGTTGACAGCGATGTTGTTTACGCGTCCAAGCTAAATAGTTATTTCTTTCTGCACTTAATTATGGAATATATTACAACTATTGCTGCTTTGTCCCTTCTGCGGAAGTCCTACAAAAGTAGCAGCAAACGCCGTCGTGTCTGGGTTCATAATATCATCCAGCGTCGCACACAATTTGGTGAATTTCATCGTCTTATCCAGGTGCTTACTGGCTTATCTTCCTCCAAGCCAGCTCTTTTTTGTTTCTGTCCCGGAAGACATATGACATTAGTACCCAAAAATCACATTGCTTCCGGTGTTAACGCACCATTACAGCTACCAACATCCGACTGTTCTCCCGAAAGCCAAAGCAAAAAAGGAATCTTTGTCTAAAGTAGAAAAACGAGTCTGTATCCAATTGTAAAGCAGGTTTTCTCAGGGTAAAAAAACCTGCATATATGCAGAAAGGGTTTGAGAAAATCAAAAATAATAGAACATCAATGCATATGTTAAAAAATGGGAGTCAAACAAAACAATGTCCTTGTCACATGCTTTGAGTAGTTGTTGCATCACAGCTTGGCTCAAATACATTTATTATATACATATAGAAGTTTAAGTTCAGTTTTGATTATTGTTATTATAGCATATATAAAACAATTACTTACTTCTCTGTTTTGTTTTACCTTTGTGTTGCTTATAGAAACGTTTCAATATGTTTGCTTTCTTGCTGGATTAGATTTGGAGATGAATACCACTCCATGTCTTGTGCTAAATAACAGGCTACAACCAGTAGACAGTTAGCTTAGCATTGCTCCTCTGTAGCACATAACCCCCGCAAATGATCAGCATGTAACTTTTATACTTCGTTTTTTTAAGATTTAACATGGTTATTAGGAAGTTTGTCTAATTAACTGTACTATGTCTGTACAGATTATCCAACAAAGAAGAAGAAGCTGGGGAAAAATCCAGATGTGGACACGAGCTTCCTTCCTGATCGAGACAGAGAGGTGAGGGGAATATAAAACATTTCTGTCAGTGACAAACATTCTTCTTATTTCTTTTTATATTTCAGGTAAATATTTCAAATCGTTTGAGGGAGTTATCATATTCCAGATGAGGCAATAGGAATTTAAAGATCAGCTTGGCAGAATGCAGAATGAAACACAAACCAAACAACACTTAGGGTAGTAGCAAGCAATCTAGACACAGTATATATCCCCCTTTTAAACAAACAAACAGACTTCTGAATAATTGTAGCTCACAGTACTGTGTTAAAGTTGCCATTTTGAGACTGTGACAGCAAATTCTTTATGGATAAACCTTAACATTTCCCTGCCTCTTGTGCTCAGGAGGAGGAGAACCGCCTCAGAGAGGAACTCCGGCAGGAGTGGGAGCTCAAACAGGAGAAGATCAAGAGTGAGTGTCAACAGAAACATCCCTCATTACTTCAGTTGTGCTTCCCACGCCTTTAACTCTAATTACAAGCACACATTCTGTCCACAATGAATTTGTTGAATTCCCTGCTTTACTTACAAATGCACACTTCCCATGGATCCAAAAATAATGGTGTGTATTTTTGTCTTCAGGCGAGGAAATCGAGATCACATTCAGCTACTGGGACGGCTCAGGGCATCGTAAGACTGTCAAGGTAAAACACCATGAGCTGTTATTATTTGATTAAAGCTACAGATCTGTTGATGATGTTGTAAAACAACATGCTTTGACAAAGTGGTTACTACTCTCTCCATGATTTCATTGTGTATTTGGCCCGCAGATGAAAAAAGGAAATACTATCCAGAACTTCCTGCAGAGGGCCCTGGAGGTCCTCAGGAAGGACTTCAGTGAGCTCAGGTGAGATGTTGAAGATGAGTACACTCTTTCTTAAAACACATAATGATGATTGGTCATATTCCTGCAAATGTGTCTCTACCACATTCTGTCATGCTTGTGTAATGCAGGTAGACAAAATGACCAATCTGACCAAATGAACACAAATTAAAGAGGCCCTAATATGCCTCTGGGGGGTTTCCCTTTCCTGTAGTGTTTTATATATAATGTTGTGCATGTTAATGGTCTGCAAAGACTAAAATCCCAAAGTTCGAGTTTCTCTCCCACACCGTTGGAATGTTTAAATTCATCTTTACTGAACTGATTTTCCTCTGTGGGCAGGTCTGCTGGAGTAGAGCAGCTAATGTACATCAAAGAAGATCTGATCATACCACATGTAAGCAGTTCAACCGTTGCCTGACTTTGTTTGGATTTGATTTGTTTCTCTTCATTTAATTGTTGTGACAGTTTTGGTTGATGAGAGATTCCTTTCACGCTCCAGGCGTTACTCAAGCTTGTTCAGCCAAACCCATCGGCTGTTGCCTCGTTGTGCTAATGCTTTCTGAATGAATAATAGATAAAGATCACGTTCATTTTATCATTTGCCTGATCTGACAGGTTGATTGTAGGGATGAGTGATTAAGAGAACATCCAATTTCACAATATTTCTGATTAAATACTTTAATATCGACATAACACTTCATCATTCAGTCATTGAACTGATGAACTTACATGCACTCAATACCGTAAGAATCCAGAGTGATTTGGGTTTAAGTATCTTGCCCAAGGACACAGCGGCCAACCATTTCTGTTACTTTCTATATTTCTAGGGAATATGATTTTTAGAAAAAAACCGAATAAATAAACCTTATACTCTAATAGCTTTCAATCTGTGCAAACATACACAACTGCCAACTTAGAAACAAGTATAGAGTCTAGACTCTGTCGACAAACACTGAAATGTGTGGAGCAGGTGCGGCACTTTATCCCTCTTTGATTGTTCTCATCTGTTTGCCTCCTTCAGCACCACAGTTTCTACGACTTCATCGTGACCAAAGCCAGAGGCAAATCTGGTGAGTGATCCTCAGCTTTCAGCCAATCCATAAACAGGACCTGGCTTTGTTTCTGTTACATTTTGAAATAGTTGTGTTACTGCCTTTGGACTCAGTTTATCTGTTTTCTTCCAGGTCCTCTGTTCAGCTTCGACGTCCACGATGATATCCGTCTGGTGAACGACGCCACCGTTGAGAAAGATGAGGTGAGGATTTGTTTTTATAGTGAGACAAAAGGACTTAGAGCAGTGCTTCTCAAAGTGTGGTCCGCGGACCACTGGTGGTCCGTGAGCGCCCCCCTAGTGGTCCGTGAGCGCTCCCCTAGTGGTCCGTGAGTATATTGGTAACATTTCACATTTGAAATAAATTAATTAATTAAAGTTTTTCCGCACTCACGCGGGAATGGTTTAAGTTTCACTCTCGATTGCATGAGCAACACAGCGCAACACCTTCATCACACATGTTGCCACTTGTTTGTACCATTTTCAGGCGATTTGTAATCTGTTCTAGAAAAGCGATGTGTTTTTTGATATTTGTGGAGTCAGGTGGTCCGCGAGTGTGTTTTATTGGTTAAGTGGTCCTTGGTATGAAAAAGTTTGAGAAACACTGTCGTATACTAATGAAACGTAAAATGGCATTTAACTGTGGAGGTATTTTGCTGGTGAGAGATTTGAGTTGCTTTAGCGTGTAGAAGCTAGTAAGCCTACTGGTTGATTTGTTTTAGAAAGGCACAACAAGTTTCACACCTTATTTTCCTGTTCCCTGTTAAAATAAACCATTTTCAGTGGTACCGCTGAGTAAGAGTAANAATTATATTTTGTTATCATTTCATATACCAGCTATTCCTCCAAAAACATGTTTTGGATATCATGCCATTCAAATTTACATTTTAAAAAATTGTAGTTTTTGTATTACTACCCCAAGCTTCCATAAGTGGGTTAAAAAATGACCCGCATGTATTTTCTATGGAATTTCGTTTTTTTTTCTAAATGTAAAAAAAATGTCTAAAATTATAAATAGTGAAAGATTAAATATAAAATATTTCTACTGTGAACCAAAATATAATACAAGTGCTTTTTCTTAACCAAATTGAAAAAATCTCATAAAAACACATTCTAATACGGGTCCTTTTTGACCCACTTATGGTATAGTGTAGGGTCCAGTCACTCTAAGTGCATCTAAGGGTTAAAGGAAAAAAATTCCTCTTTTTTTTTTTCAAACACAAAACTAAGATATACTCAGATTTCGGTACATAAAATGTACAAAGAATAAGAATATCTTTAAGCAAAAAGATAGCTAATGTCCAAGATGAGGTAATAAATAATGTCCTTTAAAAATGAAGAGTTGCTTTCCACTAACCTTTGGGTAAATCAAGCCATAAAGATGCATGCATTCTGCATTTACTTGTTCACTTGCAACATTTTATTGTATTTTATTTGACATGTATAAAGTTTACTTCTGCAATACTTGCACATTGGTCTTTCAACATAATCTTGCACTATTTTATTTCTATTCAGTTTTCTCCTTGCACTATTTGTTATTGATTTTTTTTTTAATGTGTTTTATTGGGTAATGTCTTATATACATGTATGTTCCATTGTTGGAGGAGCCTGTGACTACCATTGCCATAATTACACTGGAGCTACTGTGCATATGCCAATAAAGCTTTGAATCTTGAACAAAAAGGATGATAAGTAAAACACTGCAACTGCGACGCCTTCACTGAACCCCCACTTTGCTGGGACTCAGGGCTCTCGCGTAAGGTCTCATAACGGCGTACGATAATTATTTTGGACAATATACTAAGTCAGTTCGCAATAAATGACTCTAACACGTTATCATTGATGGTAAAAAGCTACTTACCTCGGCAATTTTCAGTTTTAGCTGCTCGAGCTGTGATCTTTCTTTTTCTCTTTTCTTCATCAGCTGCATGGCTCTGCCGGCCTCACTGGCGGCTCCTTTGTACTGCGCCATGTTGCTCTTTCTGCTCCTAACGCTCTCTAATAAGATTATTTATTCCACAAACAACAAAAAGGTAAATTCAATTCTGAAATAGACTGATTTTATTAAGAGCTACGAAGGTATAACTCCCAGCAGCACAACACAACAAGAAAAATGGCGACGACGAAGTGCATGCTGGGTAGTAACGGGAGAATCATAAACGATGCCTTCAGGTTACCCAGGAGAGCTCGGAATTATTACATCCAGAAATCAGAATGCATCAAAGGCTGAATAAACGGTTCGACTATAACATCAGTACACATTTAAAAGAAGAAAAGGAATATTTTATGAATTCAAATCACAATTGCTAGTTTTTTATTTTAAAAAAAGTATTCTTTATGAAAGTTGGTCTATAAAATCTTTTAAAGAAATGTTGAAAAACAAAAATAGTTACATAGCAAATCCTAAAACAATACCCTAACCCTAATACTAAATCAGTATAATATATAATAGTATGAAATGATTAAATCCCAAAAGATGCATTTGATTAATTGTGTCAACTTTATTCTAGAATCAACTGTGCACATTCACAACAAATACGCTTAAGGAACTTTTGACATTTATTTTATTGATTGCATGGTACAATTGAATCAAAAACATTTTTTAAATAATAACAAAAACTGTCTATGAACTGGCTTTACACATATAAAACATATCAAACAGCATTAACTTGAAACAATTGCAGAACCATGCCAATTATAAAACAAAAAAAAGACACATGCACATTTTAATAAAATAACCAATCTCTCTCTCTCGCTTATTCAGTCACTCGATAACACTCGCTATCTCTCTCATTCATGCGGTCTCGTTGTCTCTCATTTGATGGTAGTCCTTGTTCGACAGTGTTACAGCAATTTGGCTGCAGCAGAGAGCAAGAGATGTACAGAAGGGAGTGATAAAAACATTAACACCACACATACATAAAGACCGCATGCAGGGAAGGAAGGTGGTGCTCAGCTGTATGCAAGGCACCACAAACCTAAAGGGAGAAAAGAAGATCATTATTTAAACAATAATATGTCTGAAATAACGTCTCTCTATATTGGGACTATGAATTGATATATAACATCATCTTCGGAACATCTCCAGACTCCGCTCATCTCTGTCCCAACCCAGCACTGAAATCCTGGTCCACTCATTCGTCACATCCCGGATTGATTACTGCAATGCACTTCTGACTGGCCTTCCCATCAAACTCCTCAATAGACTGCAAATAATCCAGAACTCTGCTGCCCGGATCATCACCCTATAACCTATAGGTATAACTGCAATTACACTAACGCAGCGTCCACACGGCGGCGTGCGTTGAAGCTTGCCGGCGGGCGTGTCTGAAGCTCGACCAACAACCAATCACATTTATCTCCCGCCCCGGACACACAAGCACGCGGTTTGATTGACTAGAGCTTGTACTGGCATATGATTTGATTGGCTGACGCTTCCGTCGAAGCTTCAAAAGTTGAACATTGCTCAACTTTTGAAGCGAGCAACGCGAGCAACGCGAGCAAAGCGAAGCAACGCTCCCACAATGCAGTTCGGGAAAGTGTGACGTCACGCCCACTTTGAATGGGCAGAAGCGTTGAAGCTTCAACGCACGCCGC